TTAAGCCTTTAAATGTCACTTTAAGCTGTATAGAAGTGTTTTGAAAAATATCTAGTAAAATATTATTTACTGTCATCATGGAAAAGATAAAATAAATCAGTTATTAGAAATGAGTTACTAAAACTGTTTAAAAATTTGTTACATATTTTTTCTCTCCATTAAACACGAATTGCGGGAAAAAAAAACTAATAATAAGGGGGGCTAATAATTCTGACCAACTGTATATTATCTATTATTTTAATTATTAACATTATTATTTACAAACCATTTCTCACCATTAAAGCTGCCTTAAAGGAAGCATTATTAGGGGGTCAATCCTCCCCAAACCCCCTCTAATTCGCACCCTGCTTATAAATCCTATAAATTCAGAAGATTTGATGTTTATTTCATGTTTAAAAAAAAGACAAAAAAGGATGCAGAATATAAGTGTCCAAATATAAAGTATTAATAAAACAACCTTGCAGAAATTTTTTTTTTTGCAAATATGATGGACACTTCTCATGAGTGCACAGGAGAGGATTTATGAATGTTATGAAAACACAACAGACACTAGTATGTGTAGCATGTCAAGATTGCATTCATGCTATATACATTTAGGACCTCTGGGTGGCCAAACCTGTTCCTGGATGTTTTTTAATGCGCTCACCAAACCCTAACCCTACCCATCACAGTGACGTCACTAACTCTATAGAGTGCACTGTGTCTGACACTGCATCGCTGAGTGATGCAATCTCAGCTTGCATCATAAACACGGCATCCAGATACTATTGGGAGATCTACCTTCCTGCAGATTTCCGCTGCAACCTTGATCAGACTTTAATTACCAAGTGCTCCTACAAGTTGGTTTAGTTGAGTTTGATCAGGGTTGGAGCTAAATTCTGCAGGAAGGTAGATCTCCAGGAACAGGGTTGAACACCCCTGATTTTGGACATACTTTCATAAGGTTCTACTCTAAAACCCTTAGTGAAGCGTACAGTACAGTAGTTACTTCACAAAAGGAAAATTGCTGTTTACGAACTTGTGATTAGTTTTGAAAGCTCAGGTCATTTATTAAATTTGTTAAAATCTTTCAATTCTAAAATGCCTATTTTTCAATATTTACAGTTCTGTTTTAGCCTGATGGATGTGCTAAAGATTTCACTTTTCTTTTGCTTTATTTCTGATTGAATATAGATGCAGTTTTAGATACTTTCTAAATATGAGTACATATAAAATACATTTAAGAAGGTTTTTAATGGTTATGTACAGCAGGCATTCTCAATCTTTTATAAAATAAGGAAATAATATATTTACCACAAAACTTGTCATTTAAAATACATTTATTTCAAATCGATCACAGTTTTATATACCAGGGTTTCTCAAACTCGGTCCCGGAGGGCCGGTGTCCTGGAGATTTTAGTTCCATCTTGCTTCAGCACACCCGCAGGGATGTTTCTAAAAAGCATAGAGGTCCCACTGGACTTTTCTCCCCATAGACTTCTTTTCATACACACATGAATGCGTCAGACCGGAACACAAGCTCGTGCGACAAGTTTCGAGGTTCACTGCATTGCAAAGTTCAAGCTTGGTGAATTGTGACCTGCGAAATCGCATGATTGCGTGAGACCAGTGGCGTAGCGCAAAATGCGGAGGCCCCCCTGCAGGGATCACTGACGGGGCCCGCGGGGAAGCCTTCATAAATTGAGGAGCGATCACAAACTGAGAAGTGGGAAAGGGGGCGGGGGTGAAGCGACAACGCAGGGAAGCCTTCACGTACTGAGGAGCGATTTCAAACCGAAAGCGGTGAGAGCGTCAAAGTAGCCAGAAGTCATTCATTTTTAATGAGAACCGGCGGCGAGGAACAGCACGGCGCGTCTTCTCCTGTGTGGGCGTCGAGGAGAGTTGAAATCAAGTCAACTTTATGGTATGAGCTATGACGTGGTTAGGCAGCAAGCAATCAGAATGAAGTAGTCCACCGCTTGAGAGGCGTTCAGAGAACACAGACCAGTGAACTTTGGTTCCGTCCACAGTTGTTCCCAAGAGTTTGATTATTGCGGTTGCCGGATTTTCAATTGTTGAAAATTTTAATTGTCGATGACATGGGGCCACCTAATCACGCGGGGCCCCCCCACGGTGCGTGCCCTGCGGGCCTGTCCTCTACGCCACTGCGTGAGACCAATCAAGGATCAACACATGACCTCTCTGTACAGAAATCTCAAATATGGAGCAATCGCTCGCTTTTTTAAATGTCTAATGATCTTTTTGCAGCATCGTACAACAAAATTTCGGATGCACAAACTCTAGAGTGACCGCAGCGTAAGAGCTTGATTAGCGAGCACATGTGTGTATGATTAGGGTTTGAATTAAACTTTGCAGGACACCAGGGCTGCGTCCGAAACCGCATACTTCCATACTATACAGTACGCTAAAATCAGTATGCGAGCCGAGAAGTATGTCCGAATTCATAGAATTCGAAAATCAGTATGTGAGAAGTACCCGGATGACTTACTACTTCCGGCAAGATTCCGGAGTGCGCATCCCATGCATGCTGCGCTATCCCATGATGCCCCGCGAGCGAATTCATGAATGGAAGTAAAGCGACGCAACTGGTGTCACGTGACCATGACAAAATGGCGGATGTAGTAGGTCCGAATTCCATTCATACTTTTCACATTCATACTGTATAGAACGTACTTTTCTAACAGACGAGTAGTACGTTTAAATTGAAATGCAGTACCTACTATGTAGTAGGCGGTTTTGGACGCAGCCCGGCTCTCCAGGACTGAGTTTGGTCACCCTGGTTATAATCAGTTAAAGAAAAGATGATCAGCACTCCTGTGAATTTGCAATGTAACAGAGAAAAACATTTTTACAGTATTTTCTTTTATATTTTTCTGGATAAAGTAAAAAATGTTAACTGCTAAGATCAATTTTATTAGCCCCCTTTAAAATATTTTACACAACAAAAGTACTGTTGTCCAATGACTTGCCTTATTAAGCTAATTAAGCCTTTAAACTGCACTTACTAGTACAAGTCAACACTAGTTTAAACCTGCTGGATGTGCTGATGCTCACTTTGCAGTGAAGTTCACCTTTATGCTGACTACTGATACTCTCCATGAGGACACTATAACTGACTAATTCTGTATTTGTATCATTTTAATAACTTAATACAAGCAACTTGTGTTTTCTGGTGTTGTTTTACCATGCACTGCGGCATTCTGGGAGCAACATGGAACATGTTATCCGCATTACAGTAAGCTTGCATATGTCGTTTGCTGTAGTTCAGTTTATTTCAGTGCTTTAATTGTGTTCCTTTAACTTGTTTTGTCTTTCCCCCCTGAATTAGGAATGCAGTCTACCACTACCAAAGCTTAGCAACTAGCGTAGGACATGCTAACAGCATGGTGAAACGTGCTAACAATGTGTTAAATGATGCTTAAAACATGCAAGTAATGTGTCAGATATGTTAGTTTAGAAAGTGAATTTAAATAAAATGCTAATTTTATGTAAACAAAATGAAAACATATCATCTAACACATGCTAGATGTGTGCTAAAAAGCTTTAGAAATGTGCTAATTTTGTGTTAGCTTTGTTAAAACAAAGCCATGCTAGAAATGTATGCTAGCAACAGTATGTTACGACATTCTAGAAACATGTTTAATGCTAAAATGCTAAAAACATGTTAATGCTATCAAAAGCTAAACAATAGCATGATGATCAGTCTTAAATACGAACATGATTTTATGCTGAGTTTACCTGATGTTTCTCCATCAAACATCAACCAATCATGCATGATTAAAATGCTAACAGCTTTGATGCTTATACTGTGGATATTTTATCTGGACAGTAAAATGAACGTGTAACATCTAATGCTTTATTTGTGAAGTCAGGGGCAGATTTGTTGTTGTTTTGTTTATTTATGCTTGTATTATTGATGTCCTGCATTTATTCTTGGTCCTGTGCAGTGTTGTGGATCATCCTTCATCCAGACTGTTTGCAAGTTTCTGTTGCATTTTTAATGAAACCGCACAAATGTGGTCAGGTTGTGAAATTATAAAGCTAACGTGAATGTAACAAACAAAGACTCAGGGTTGTCTAGAGTGAATTATGGGCATATCGACTATATAAATATATATATATATTTTTGAGTATTTTACTCTATGCTTTAAAGAAAAGGGTCGTATGGTTTTTCTTATAAATGTATTTCTGTAAAATAAAGTTAAGCACTATTTACAAAACAGCTTGTCGTTGTTACTGCTGAAAAACATTCATTTATTTTCCTTCGGCTTAGTTACTTTATTAATCAGGGGTCACCACAGCGGAATGAACCGGCAACTATTCCAGCATATGTTTTACAGCGGATGTCCTTTCAGCTGCAACCCAGTACTGGGAAACACCCATACACACATTCACACACATACACTACGGCCTATTAAACTTATTTAATTCACCTATAGCGCAAGTCTTTGGGGGAAACCGGAGCACTCGGAGGGAACCCACGCCAACATACAGAGAACATGCAAACTCCACACAGAAAAGTCACCTCCAAACAGTCATTCATTCAATTTCTTTTCGGCTTTTTCCCTTTATTAATCTAGGGTCGCCACAGTGGAATGAACCGCCAACTTATCCAGCATAAGTTTAACGCAGCGGATGCCCTTCCAGCTGCTACCCATCTCTGTGAAACATCCATAAACACTCATACACTATGGACAATTTAGCTTACCCAATTCACCTACACCACATGTTTTTGGACTGTGGGGGAAACCGGAGCACCCAGAGGAAAACCCATTGAGGGGAGAACATGCAAACTCCAGAAACGCCAACTGACCCAGTCGAGACTCAAACCAGCGACCTTCTTGCGGTGAGCCGACAGTACTACCTACTGCACCATTGGGTTGCCTACCTCCAAATATATATGTATTTGCAAAATATAATTCCTGTGATGGGTTTGATGCTGTAGTAATCATATTTATACGCAATGAAAGTTCAGCACTGAAATCAAAATCAGAAAAACATTCATGGATCATTTTTTAATGCATAAAACAAACACAAAATCATCTGAGGTGGTCAATGTTTAATAGTCAAGTGCTACTTTGGGCTTTCCGCCTGGATTTTGCCAACTTAAATTCAAAAGCTTCCCAAATCCACATGCAGAGGTGTAAATGCAAAAAGTTTGGGATCATTTTAAGGAAAACCCTTTGAATTTTCATAAAACACTGTTAAAAGTGATTAAAATATCTGTATATGTTGTCTATGATATAGTAAATTCCTCCAAAAAAAGAGGTGTTTTTTTTTGTAAACTCAAATTTGAAAGTGTATATTTGAGGTTCTGTGTGGTCTAGGTTGCTGTAATCAATTTTGTTGGTTCCTGCACATGTCAGTAATGATAGGAAAAAAAAAGAAAAATGTCTCGATCATAATCTATGCAAGAGTTATTCTATTCCAACTGATGAAAGAACAGAACCATTTATGGGGGTATTGGGCCAGTACAGACCTTTAAAATGTAAAGCATGCGAAAGTAAGTGACGTCACAGACCTACTATCGGGTACGCACAGTTTTTAATATGTCTGTTTGTGCTAGTCAGAACATTTTAATACATTTGTAAATGCCCCAAAAATGTATTAAAAATGTAAAAAATGCACATAATTTATTAAGTCCCAACACAAAAGAAAACAAATAAATGGATTAAACATAAAACAATTATGTTGTCCCCAAAAAACCTTCCAAATTTGTGTTGTTTTAATGCAACAAGTAGTTCAAACAAGCAGCGAAATCCTTTTTTTTTTTTCCAGTGTGACGACGCAGACATCATCGTATGGTATTTTGGAACATGAGTTTTGACTGCTTGATTCTCCACAAGAGAAACACAATTATGACCCTTTTTGTTTATTTAAACTCATATGAATGAATAATGATTGGTGTGAGCTGTACTGCAGTGTTAGAGGAGGAGTGTTTTCATTGGCTCTGTTCACAGATCAGTGTCACGGTACCGTTCAGCAGATCCTCCATGCTCACCGCCACCATTCCTGATCCGGCCGGAGTCTCCTGTTGATCAGCCAGAGCCACAAACACCTGCTGTGAGGACTCGCTCTGGGACTGATGGAGGTTTATCACCTGCTCCACTGCCGGATCTGCTGCAGCTTCACACTGAACCACCTGCAAAATCCAAAACAAGAGTCCAAAATCCAGCAACAAACAGAGAACACTCTACAGTTTGTCAAATATTGTTGCTGTTGGACAACATAATGTACTTTTGAGGCTTTTTTTTATTGGAGAATGTAGTTGTTTAGATTGCAACTATGCAGTTTATTTATAAGGATAGTGCCTATTTTAAATATTTATAATTTCTGAGAGTGCACGTCAGCGGCCATTAGCCTGTCATTGAGTAGACAAAAGACGACTAACATTGTCCATCCACAAGATGGCGACTTCATAATAAGCCCTAAGAGAAAGGATTTCAAACTACAGCAGATCAAATCGTTATTAAACAGGTAAGTGACTTTTTAAGGGGCTGATCACACCGAATGCACTTTTTGCATTGAGAGGGACCTTTTTTGTGCCATTGTGCGTGCTGCTTATGTGCCATGTGTGCTGTGAGCTTGCAGTTGAAAAAAGTCAACTCTGAGCGGAAAAAGCACGTTACGTCAGTCGCGTCTGTTTCATTCTCCAATCAAATGAAAGCAGAGGCGGGGTTTTCGTTGAAGTGCCTGTAGTGTTTGCGTTGTCAAGACAACAATGGATAATTTTGCAACTTGTCGTTGCTGTTTTGAGTTATCTGGAGTAACATGACTTCACAAATCTTGAATATCACAATATTACTAATTATTAAAATGATATTAATATAAACAGCAACACTCTCGAACATTAAGCAGCTGATTCAGTCGTTGCCTAGCGACATAAAAAATTGCACTTTTTTTCTTGTCAACAAAAAAGGCAGTAAGGTGCACCTCGCGTTTTGGGAATGTAAAGGCACGTTCGGTGTGATCGGCCCCTGATCTTTCTCTTTAGTAAGTTATAGTGTTGTATTTATACAATAGTAAAATTGTGATCTCCCGATAGCAACAGAGAAATACTGGGAAATCTCTGTAGACTGATGGCATGTCACGCTGTTCAGCCTTTTAATCTTGAAATATCCGCAAAATCACCTGTTTTGTCATCACTTTAGACATTACGCTAGAGAATCATTCAAATACTAGCTCTATAGTGATGTTGGTGAAGTAACAATGGTTATTGCTGTTCAGATAGTCAGCTGCAGATGTGAATGAATATAAGTAGTTCCTCTTGCAAAAGGGTTTTGAGATTGTGTTTGATTTTCTTATTTATACACATGATTCTGCCATTGAACTGTTTTATAAACACAATATCACACTTGTAGCAGCGCAATGTGGCTGTATATCTTCACCAGTGGGACACTAACGCACGCCTCCCCACTAGTGCCGATATATAGTCACATCGCACTGCTACTTGTGGGATTTTGCTCATTTAGCTTTGAATGTCTGTCATCATATTTAATTAAGTCGTCACCCTAAAAATACAATCTTTTTAGTAATATAGCCTACAAATGTATAGTTAGACCATCTGCGATTGTGCGTGGCTCACTTTGATTTTCACTTTCTCAAGCATGAGCGAAGGCTTTTTCATGGCACTGAATATGCTGTTTTGAAAGACATATCTGAAGTAAAGTTGCCAACAGAAAGTAATGTTTTTGATAGCATGAAGTCGCTAGGCAACAGAGTCATGCATACTTAAAATCACAAGGAAAAGTAGCAGACACTGAAATACATGCGCTCATTTTGACCGCTATGGTAGTTCTCGGTAGAAATAATCAGAATTTATTAATTCATTTTCCTTCGGCTTAGTCCCTTTATTAATCAGGGGTCGCCACAGCGGAATGAACCGACAACTTATCCAGCATATGTTTTACACAGCGGATGCCCTTCCAGCTTTAACCCAGTACTGAGAAACATCTATACACACTCACATTCGCACACATACACTTCAGCCAATTTAGCTTATTTAATTCACCTATAGGCGACGCAGTGGTAGTGCTGTCGCCTCACAGCAAGAAGGTCGCTGGTTCGTTGGGGTTTCTGTGTGGAGTTTGCATGTTCTCCCTGCGTTTGCGTGGGTTTCCTTCGGGTGCTCCGGTTTCCCCCACAATCCAAAGACATGCGGTACAGGTCAATTGGGTAAGCTAAATTGTCCGTGATGTATGAGTGTGAATGAGTGTGTATGGATGTTTCCCAGAGATGGGTTGCAGCTGGAAGTGCGTAGAACAAGTGCTAGATAAGTTGGAGGTTCATTCTGCTGTGGGGACCCATGATTAATAAAGGGACTAAGCTGAAAATGAATGAATGAATGGATGAATTGACCTATATCGCATGTGTTTGGACTGTTGGAGAAACTGGAGCACCCGGAGGAAACCCACGCCAAAACGGGGAGAAAATGCAAACTCCACACGGAAATGCCAACTGGCTCAGCCAGGATTCGAACCAGTGACCTTCTTGCTTTGAGGCGACAATGCTAACCACCGAGCCACCGCGCCACCAAACTTAATTATATATTAAAATATTTTTTAAGTTAATAATTGTGCCTTCAACTGTATATCTTGAGCACCAAACCAAATCAGGCATGAAATAAAAGGCCATTTTCCGCCCTGTGGAGATGTTTAGTTGTGTGTGATGTTGAGTGTGTGTTCACCGTCTGTGAAGCGGAGCTCTGTGTCTGCGCTTCATCCTGCACGAGCTGGAGGTGTTTGGACAGGAAGTGCTGCTGGAAGTCAGGCTCAGAGGGGAAGTGAAGTGAACAGACCATACAGCTGAACAGCGCGGGAGTCTGAACACTGCAAACATGATGCTGGAGCTCCTGCTCACTGGACAGAGAACAGTCACAGCTCACACACTTCCACACGTGCACATCTGAACCCACACACACACACACACACACACAAAGGGTCAGTACTAGTACTAGTGATGTTAGCAATTAATAAACTCTGCTTGTGGACATTAAATTATTCAAATTATTACTGGCAGCTCAGCACTTACCAGCAACATTTTGACCAGTTTCTCCTATGAAAATTTAAAAAAGGAGGGTGGGGTTGCTAATATCATTCATTCATTCATTTTCTTGCTGGCTTAGTTCCTTTATTAATCCGGGGTCGCCACAGCAGAATGAACCACCAACTTATCCAGCAAGTTTTTACCCAGCGGATGCCTTTCCAGCCGCAACCCATCTCTGGGAAACATCCACACACACATTTACACACACACTACGGACAATTTAGCCTACCTAATTCACCTGTACCACATGTCTTTGGACTGTGGGGGAAACCGGAGCACCCGGAGGAAACCCACGCGAAGGCAGGGAGAACATGCAAACTCCACACAGAAAGGCCAACTGAGCCGAGGTTCGAACCAGCGACCTTCTTGCTGTGAGGCGACAGCACTACCTACTGCGCCACTGCCTCGCCCTGCTTATATCATAACACTAATAATTATTTTGTCTCAATACATGTTTGCTAACATTGTGGGTCACAGAAATGTAGAAATTTTTCCCATTTATTAAAATAAATTTTAATCCTTCCATGGGAACTGAAGGAGAGTTTTACAAAAGCTGCAACTCGTCCTAACTCTGAGATTCACTCGAAGATCGGAGGTCTACTGGAAGATTTCCAATTTTTTAACAATCACTCGTCTGTCTAGCATGATACAGCTCTGTTTCAGCTGAGTGTATTGAAGATGTTAAAGTCTGGATGACCAACAATTTTCTTCTCTTAAACTCAGACAAAACAGAATTATTACTTATTGGGCCTAAATCCTGCACACAGTAGATCTCACAACCCGACCTACAATTAGAGGGATAATAAGTTAGCGTTAGCTCTACTATAAAAGATCTGGGTGTCATATTAGACAGCAATTTAACTTTTGAAAATCATATATCCCATGTCACAAAAACTGCCTTCATTCATCTGAGAAATATTGCTAAGTTACGAAGTATGCTATCCATCTCAGATGCAGAAAAACTAGTCCATGCTTTTATGACTTCAAGACTGGATTACTGTAATGCTCTGTTTGCTAGCTGCCTAGCATCCTCTATTAACAAATTTCAGCTAGTATTAAATGCAGCTGCCAGAGTTCTTACCAGGTCTAGAAAATATGATCATATCACCCTAGTTTTATCCTCTTTACACTGGCTGCCTGTTAGGTTTCATATTGATTATAAAATATTGCCTCTTACCTATAAAGCTTTAAATAATCAAGCTCCTGTTTATCTAACCAACCTTCTGTCTCGCTACAATCCAACTCGCTCTTTAAGATATCAAAACTCAGTGCTTCTGGTAGTACCTAGAATAGCAAAGTCGAGTATCGAGCCTTCTCATTTATGGCTCCTAAACTCTGGAATAGCCTTCCTGATAATGTCCGAGGCTCAGACACACTTTCCCAATTCAAAACTACATTAAAGACCTATCTTTTTAGAAAAGCATACACTCAGGGCATCACTTAGCGGTATGATATATGAATGTGCTCCACGCAGGTTTCTGCAGTCTTCGCTGAGGTCCAGCTTTCCAGCCTCCGGCGCCTTGACTGCAGCTCTGCACAAGAGGTTTGGCCAGAGGAGAAATGGTCGTGCCCAACTGAGCATGGTTTCTCTGGAGGTTTTTAATTCTTCATTTTCGCCTATTGGTGAAGTTTTTTTCTCGCCGCTGTCGGCACTGGCTTGCATGGTTCGGGATCTGTACAGCTGCGCATTGATGGATTTGCTCTTCAGTCTTTGGACTCTCAGTAGTGATTATTAAACCACACTGAACTGAGCTAAACTGAAAACTGAACTGACACTGTTTTAATTTACTATGATCTTCTGTGTGAAGCTACTTTGACACAATCTACATTGTAAAAGCGCTATACAAATAAAGGTGAATTGAACTGAATTGAAATGTCTTAACTGTAGATACCTCCAGAACTGATTATTAGGCAGATTAAATTTATGCTTAAGTCTATCAAAAGATATCAGTTTGTTATCTTCATAAAGATCTACCAGATTGTTAATGTTATTATCTATCCATTCTTTCCACAATAAAATGTTTCCTTTTTTTAAATTTTAGAGTTTATATGAATGTTTAACAAATTAACTTTATTGATCTGGCCCTCTAAAACCACCACAGAGTCTAATGTGGCCCCTTGGAAAAAATTAATTGCCCACTCCTGTTCTAGAAATGCTCAATGAATGGCTGAAGTCTGAGATTAATGTGATTACTTTACAAAAACAGTGGACAGGCTGAATGAAAATGTGAACCTGCCCAAACACAACAGTCTTAGAGTGTTTTGAGGTCTGAGATGAATGCTCACCTGTGTGGTTGGTTATCTGGTGTTTTATCAGGCTGTTGTGGCTCGTGAAGCTCTTGTCACAGCGCTCACACTGCAGCAGGGCTTTGAGGGATCTGTTGCTCTGGCTGGTGGAGATCTCCGGGTGAACCGTACGGTTGTGGTACCACAGACCTGACAGAGTCTGAAACACAAACACACACAAAAACACAACATGAGAACGAGTTGTGATGCAAGAATGCATGTCAGTCTATCACAGGGGTCACCAACCCTGTACCTGGAGATCCTGCAGATTTCAGTTGAAGCTCTGACCAAACACACCTGTCTGTAATTATCAAGGCTGCTTAAGGTCTTAATTAATTGGTTCAGGTGTGTTTGATTAGGGTTGGAGATGAATTC